ACTCTGGCTCTGGCAGCAGGCGAAAAGCAGAGTCGTGTGGCATATCCTGCCACGAAACTGAGCTCCACCAGGACATCACACAGCTCTCATCCCAGGGCAGCACCAGGGTGGACCGTCTGGGAGCATCGCAAGAGGGTAAAGGCAGTGTTGTGTACATTGCACATCAGCCGAGAAGGCACTGGGACCTCATGGCTCTGAATTACAAGCAGGTGCATGTGACAAATATAATGGGGGGATGCTTGGGTTTGATCTTCAATCAATTAGGGAGTCAAAGAGCAGCAGCCTTATGGGATATAAGAAATAGCTTTCCACTTAGAAAGGCAGGCAGTGGAAAGGCTGACAGCCACTACCATTAAGGCTTAGTGGAGGTCAGTAATTTTGCTATTAGAAAATGGATGCTGAGCGAGGAGAATGCTGTAAAGCTGGTCTGTGAGGTGAGGATATTGGGGGACAGGAGAGAGCAACTTGCCCCTCTCTGGACTCTATCCATGTTCATGTGGGAATCGGAGCAAGGAGACAGTGTTCCGTCACTCCTTGAGTAAGCACCTTCATTTCAAATGCTCTCCTCTGGTTTGAAATAACATTAACCCCACGCCAGGTGCTAGATACCAGGGCCATAATGCTGACACAGCCAGAGAAGGTTTGGGGGTGTGGGGGGCAGTGACATGAAAAAAGGAGGAAGGACTTAAGGGTAGTATGAGGTTCTGCAGAAATCTGTTTCTCGTTGCACAGACACCCTGTTATAGGACAACTTTTGTTGTTTCTCCTAAAAATGGCTTTTATTTCACAGCAATATTTGGCAAGGAACCCAGCCCGCTGTGTGCTCTCGTTGTACAATCTGCTCCTACCTTTGCTCCCAATCCTCTTCTTTTAATAAAAGAATTTCACAGGCATTTTCACCATACATGTCCATTTGAACCTATCCTGCTCGTTACTCAGTCCAGTGGACACATTCACTGATATGCCACAAGGGCTCCTTCAGAGACAGGTCAGGTCAAAAACTTTCACCATTTTAAACAGGTGCTTAAGTATCACTGCCTCTTGTTATTAGCCATGCCACCACATTTTGCTGGGGACTCAGACAAAGCTGTGCGTGAGCAGTTCCTAACCCCCCCTGCTCAATCTCAGGTGCTATCATTACATTTCCTCTCTTTCCTTGCCTCCCATACTAAAGAAAAAGGGCAGCCTTTAAGACAGAAATTAAATTCATGTATCCACAAGACAATGCTGGGCTTAAATCCAACAGCAAGTGAGGATCTCAATGTGAAAGCTGAACCTTACTCTGGCTACACTGGCTTTCCGCTGCTTTGGAGATTCTTGGGATAGCATCACAGAGATCCTTAAATGCAGTTTGAACCTCAGTATGAAAAAACTCCCAGGCTGTTCCTGGGGTAATGCATTTACCAATGTCACTTGGAATCTCCCAGGCAGTGTAAGGAAGTTAATGCTCCCCAAACTATTGCAGAGCAATGGAATTTGTAGTTTCAAACTTCCTCTGCATTTGTGTCTAGGATAAATCAGAGTGTGGTAACAAAAAATAAAGTCTGGCATAACTAGGTTTAGCTTGCTGGGGGAGACGCAGCTTAGTTAATAGTCTGCAAGAAAGAAAAAGGCTTCAGGAAGCCAAAGTTTCCAACTGAAGTCTGGTCTACATAGTTCTTGTACCAGTTCAGCTATGCCAGTATTATGATGACTAAAACAACCCTCCAGGTGACATGGATGTACTGGTATAGAAATGCCTTACACTGATACTCTTTTCAGGAAAAAACTATTTTCATAGCCAGACAAGCGCTCTTCACCGGGAGCCAGCACAACTTAACCAAACCAGAGTAATTACGGCAACGCCACTGTTGCATGTAGGCAATGTTGTAAAAGAGCAAGATTTTCAGGAACCTGAAATCTGATCAAAAGAAAAAGGATTTTCCTCTGCAGTGCTGTCCCAATAATCTTCAGAGCTGAGTGCTTACAGTCTGGGTATCAAGCTACGGTATCAAGCTCAGCAGATGCCTCCGGTTACGTGAGACAAGATTTTAAACCCTCTGTCTTCCAGACAAGACGCATCACACAAAGGCTACTTAGCACGCCCTGCAAAGCAGGCTAAAGAGGACTCAAGGGGTCTCACTACAAGATGAAAACATTCACCTTTAAGCCTGGGTCACCTGGATTTCAAAGCAGATGAGCCAAGCTCACTTCAGTGTGAGGCTTGGTTTCCTTAACTTCATTCCATATGCGCACGGCAGCGAAGTGACACAGTTTTGCAAAGACCTGGTTGTGAGATGAGTTGGTATGCAGGGAAATGCACTGACTTCAGTGGTAGCTACAGGTCTCTGCTCCTTTCCAGGACTGCAAGAACATAAAGAGGTGGGTTTTCTGGTTTTCTCTGCCTCAGACCTCCTCTGAAGGCTACCACCATGGGCAATTGCCTACGATCACAGAGGAAATCACTGTCAAAGGCTAGGGTGAAGGACTAGTCATGAAACTAAGCTTCTGACTCCTATTCTAATCCCCAGAGTCTTTTCTTCACCAATACCCAGGCCTCAAAGTAGCAGAAAGCAACAATGCCAACAATGGAAGGAAATGGACAGTACAAAGGAAACTGGGAACAGGAGAAAAAAGGCAACAGTGTTCAAAGAAATAATGCAAGTGTTTATAATAGTAAGTGTAGGAAGGTGTGCACGAGGGCCATCCAGGGGTACGAGAGGAAAACACAGGTTTGCTCGGGCCCTGACCTTGTTTTCCTACTATCACAGTTTAACCTATTTCTCCCTCTCAGTGGGAGACCATAAAACCTCAGCCCAATCCACCACCAACCGGGGAGGATACAACAGGTGAATTAAAACCAGAAAGCAGATGGGGCACTGTCTCTGCCGGGCCCCAGCTGTCATGTCTGCGAGCTGTCTAGCCTTGCTGGGGCTGCTGCTGTCTGTGGAGCCAGCCCCATCACACCTTCCACCCCAGTCCCTGGGCTGCTAATGACACTGGGAACGGAGCCAGCGCCTGCTCCCTGCAGCAGCACCGGGCAAGAGCAGGGCCAGGTCGCTCCCCATTCACCGCGCTCGAGCGGGTGGAAATGGCCAGTCCTCCCCCTCTTCGGGACAGGAGGGCTGGGGGACCCATCTGCAAGGGACAAAATGCTTGGAAATGCTGAGGGATTTGAGCGGTAGATGTTCCCTGCCTGGGCGCCAAGCACTGGCTTACATGCTCTTTTTTCCGTTACTGCTGCACCCATCACAAGTGCCGCCTGGCCCCTGTTTGCCCCAGCTGTTCTAGTTTTTCCCTCGCACGCTGTGTCAGAGCTCCCAGGAAAATGAAAAGGAGAACAACTGTACAAAAGCAATGAGAGTCTGACCTACCTGGTAAGAACCATGCGCTCCTCTAAGAAATCAAGACAAAGCTTAAACAAGAGACCTTCAGACAAACTGATTGAGAAGTACTGAGAAGCACAGAAATGGTAAACTGGGGGACCACTGGCTAATAACTATTATTTTTTTTCTTCATTTCCTAATAAACAAGGCAAAGCAATTACAGTAATTAAAGATTTAAGATAAGAGCACTTTATATTTGGGGGGCCCAGCATATCAATTATATAGTTATCATGTTCTCCCTCCTAATGAGGCAATCTAGCACTATAATTTTGCAGAATTAAAAGCATAATTAAAGGGGGCAGGAGAAGAAGGGCAGTTTACCAAAACTGATTAAGAGGGTTCCCTCTCCTCTGTGGCTCCTGTGCACACGCACAGTGCAGACGCATTCCCCAGACACCTTTTCATTTCCAAGCGATAACCCTTGAACATGGCTGTTGGACAGCTGCAATGATAAACCCAGACTTTAATTACAGGAGGGTTTTATGAGAAGAGCTGGTTACTGTTTTGTCTCCCTACTTTCAAGCTCGCAGCTGCTGAACGTACCAGCATCTGTTGGAAGGCAAGGGGGGGAACAGCTTATCTACTCAGGAGCAAGGAACACATAAAACATAAGAAAAGCAATTACATGCCTTCGGTTTCCACTCCTCTGTTTTTATAGGGCTTGTCTTAGAATCTGAGTGATTTTATGCATCAGAGGAAGATGACAATCAAGATGAGTTGCAATGATATGCATGGGAGGCTGAGACACAGCGCCTTCAGGTATTTATTTTCCTGTAATTACAGGTCTTCTAAACATCATATTTTTTCAGAGGGATGAGAGAACCCAAAATTTTGCAGCTCAGTAGTATGGGCACTGAAACCATACATGGGACATACAAAGTGACAGTTACCAGGATGTAACTCAAGACAATCCTTTCTCCTCTTCCTTTAACCCTGCCTGACTGCAGGATGATGCGTATGGTACTGAGAAAGACACCATCGAAGTATGTAAGTACTGAGGTAAGTCTCAGTATCCGAGTGACCTTTTGCCTGCTGCAGCTCCACTACTTCTACTTTTAGACCCCCGATGAGTGAGGCACAGCTATGCTCTTTGACACCTGTAATCAAGAACATGTAACCACAACCACTGCTGCTGCCTTCTTCCTAAACTTTGTTCCCCGACATTAACTCATCCAGTTTATATGATGTCAGGATTAAGGGACAATTGAAAGCAAAAGGCAGGACTGCAGACCCATACACCTCTGCGTATTTTCAGACAGCTACGTAAAAGGCCCACAGATGACTTTTTAGTCACGCTCTTCGTTGGCCCCAGCAGGCACAAAGACACAGAACACTGGACAAAGGGTGAAATACAACTTAAGAGTCTGCAAATACAGAGGCCTTCAGTGCAAACACAAGGCCCATGGTGCAAGGCCCCATAGAGCCTTCCTCACCCCAAACAGGAGTGAGTAAGTAGAAAAGAGGACCCAGCTACTCTTTCTGAGCTCTAACGTGACATTTGCACTTTAATTTCAGGCCCTGGAGGTGACTCCATCGGGCAGCCTGGGCAGTACTGGCCCACAAAGGCTGGTCACCTGCTGCCCAGTTTTCTCTGGTTTTGCTCTTGCAGTGCAGCATTCCCCGGCACGAACGTACCTTCTTTTCATGATACTGATATGGAGATCCTCCTCCTGCTTCACTTCATGGTGTTGACCATTGCTCTTATCACTCTCTTCGCTGTCGTCGCTATGTGAGAAAATTGAGGTCAGCTCTTTCTTCGGGATCCTGGTTGGAGGTAAGGGGATTGTCCTCTTCTCTGCCAGGCGACCCCGGTTCTGGCACAGGATGGAATTAGTTGGAAGGGGAAAGGGCAGGAGGAAAAGAGAAGAAAACAAGAATTTGGTTAGGCAACCCAGAACCAAGGAGCTCCTCGCAAATGGCTGCCCTGTGAAGGCAATGCGCTGGCGTGTTGGGCGGGCAAAGTCTATGTTCCTTTTGCAAAAGACTTTTCAGCAGAGGCATATCTATATCTAGTTCTCCAGTTCTAATATTGAAGCCACGCACTTCCAGCCTCTCCCCACCTCTTCATTCCCAGCTTGCGTCTCATCCATGCCAATAGGAAAGAGGGCAGCAGAATTAGGCACCAATCTCGCTTTCCAGAATATTTCCTACCAAATGTTGCACATTAGCATAGCAGAATTAGTTAAATTAAACCTTTGCCAGTAGCCCAGGGAAGATGTGATCCAGATAATCCAGAACGCTTTTGACTGCAAGGAGAAAACTGCCTAGGCCAGCCAGCAGCAGGTTTGTCTCTCACAACAGTCCACATTAATTTCAACTTGAATTACTGAGGCTACTTTTCACTGTTCATTTGCAAGTTCAGATGAATCCAGCAGGTCCTGCCTTGTGCAGACTTTCCCTAGGTGGTCCTGGCAATGTACTTCCCTCAACAATTCACTTCTGACAAGACACAAATAAACAGGAGGAAAACTCCCAGAAGGCAAAAGCTGCTTTTTCACTGCATGTGTATTTGTATACAGAACCCAGCACAACATGACCCTGGTCCCAACCTCCTATCTTCTGCAAGGAGTAAGAATATATTACAGATTGCTCTGTCCCTGCACCCTTTGTGCCTGATCCACAAGAAGATATACACCTAGTGCAGCCTAAGCTGGAGTGTGTTGGGTTTTTAGCTCTCAAACATGTTTCTAGCACTTGGGGTGTTTAGTTTGAGCTGTGATTGACCACAAGAGCATCATCACATGAGCGCTTACAGTGGAAGATGTACACTGGAAACCCAGGGAGACTGTAATGTCATCGCCCCACAGAATTTAAAAAATTTTAGCACAGAAAATCATGAAACTGGGAGGGGAACCGCAGCGAGGGGGAAATGAAGCACAGTTTCATGCACGTTCTTTGTACAGATATGCAGGCATACTTCCTTCAGTAGGACAAGTCATACAAAAGAAAAATATCTTTAGCAAGGACTGGAACAAAAGGAAGAAAGGTGTGTGAAACAGGTCGAGTTAGCGCAGGGTAACATTTAACTAGTAACAGCTTCCCTGAAATGTCAACTCCAACTTTCCAAATAAACCTGGCAAAATGAAAACATCCTGGGAAAGCCAGTCAGGCTCTCTGCAGGGGAGAATGGAGGAAGACGAAGGGATAGAAGAGCCCACGTTTTTTGAATTAAACAAATTAAGAACTTTCCACAAATACAAAACAAAAACTTCTTGTTTACCTCTGTCAATAAATTCCAGTTGTGGTCATTAAGGGGAGCCCTAATCGTTGTGATAATTAGCTAAATCCATCTGGAAGGCATCACCCCAAGGAGGCACATTAGCTTTCCCCTTCTGATGCATGTCCGAGCCAAGAACACAGCTGTCTGTGAACAGCAGACACCCAAGGGAGAGAAGAGCAGTGGGCCAAACTGGCTTAAAATGGGAAACTGTGTGTATACAAGGAAAAAGACGTGGACTTTCTTCTTGAGAGAGATGTGAAGAAGAAAAACACCCTTGTGGGCAGCAACAAGGTGAATGCTCCTACACCTCTGAGCATCCCAAGTACAAAACTGGGATCAAGCTGCAACAAGCTCTGTAGCGAGTCCAAACACCCAGACTGACCCAGGAGAATCTCCTGAGTGTGAATATTGTTGGGGACTCTCAGAGACCCACCTGCCCAGGGCAAATGGCTATGGTGTGAGGGGCCAACAGCGCCTATGTGACAAACAGCAAAAGCTTTCGCTCGCCCCTGGGGGCTCCCCTACACAGGAGCAGAGATCCACTCACACGGCCCTTTGCAAAGAGGTTTCTCGCTGTCTGTTCCCTGGAGGAACACAAGAAATAAATCGTGCATCTCCCACCCTTAAATATTTTTTGCATACTAGGTGCATTTCCACCCCTACCCCCTCTCTTCTGCTCCAGTGTGTGCAGAGAATGTGCACAGAGCTTACCCTCTGTCTAAAGCCATCTCAGTAACTCCAGCTAACAACAGTGCAAAAGGGCAGGAGGGAGAAGAGAAGAAAATAGTGAGGGGAAGGGAAGGAAAAGCAAGGAGGGCAGTATTTGCACCAGACTTCTGTCATGCTGAAAAGCTAGGACTTGATATCAGCATGAGCTTTAACACGCCAAAGCTCTATATATTTTTCTGAAGTTGCAATTTATCACAACAATTAAAAGGGGAGGGGAGGGAGAGTGTGCAAATTTCCACTTCAAAATAATTGCAATTCACTCTCTGCTGTGACTTCACAGGCTAAAGAGAACGGCACTGATCAGATACTAAAAATCATTTTATGGCCATTATGGTACCTTCGAGCAGTTACCAGGTCTCAGTGACTGCCCAGGGACTCATCAGCCCTAACAAGAGTGAGAGTGCAGCAAACAGGGAGGCACTAAACCTGCAGAAACAGCCCACCAGACCAGGAGCACAGGTTCCCCCTTTCCCCAGCTCCTCAGAAGGCTTATCCTCTCAAGCTGCTGCATATATATACACCTATACCTACACACATATATGCCTATATATATATACAAATATACATACCTACCTATAGAGTTATCACCTAACACACAGAGACCTTCTTCCCTTAAAAGACAAACGAAGGAGCAGGAAGGGAGAAGAGAACCTGCACCTGCAGCGATCTCTGCTCACGGGTCACCTGTACTACGTTTGCTCTGACCAGGGGACAGACGTGGAGCACATCAGAACCAGGGCCACAGTGGTTCCAGTGCCCTCATAAACACCTCCATTCCAGCACTGGCAATGCATTTTTTTTAAAAAAAAAGCTGTGTTTACTTTGTATTTTTGGCATTAGGTTTGGGGCGGTTTATTTATTTATTTATTTATGACATTTCTCCATTCCCAGAAAATTAAAACAGACTGAACCAATCAATTTTGCCTTTTATGTTCATCTATAGTCAGTTTTGAATCAATTGCACTTTCTTAATCTGTTTAGAGGCATTCACCACTATATACATTACTTTTAAATTAAGCACAAAGGTAGCCAGAAGCCTGGTCCAGAACCTGCTACAATCAATTGCCTTTCCACTGGCTTGAAAGGGCATTGGTCCAAGCTGCAAATAAAAACCACTCATTTGTGAGAAGCACTCCATCTAAGGAATCATTCCTACGACTCTGGCTTTTGCTGAAGTCCTTTGCCAGTTGTACAGACAGCCTACAGGACAGGAATGCACCTATGGAGCTCAGCAGTATATTGAGATACCTGCAGTCCCTCAGGTTGAGGGTTATCAACTATCACTTGGCACACAGTGCCAGGGTGTAAAGTATGCACTTAGCAGAGCGGTGTTACGTGCAAGAATACACCCAGAGACCTCAAGACATTGCTATATATGGGGAGATACGTTAGGGTTTATAGATGTATTGATGTAAGCCTCATAATCTCACCTTAAAAAAGCTTGTATTTGTGTGACGGTGTCATTACAGAGTGATCTCATACATTAACGGGATGCCGATGTTGAATCACGAACCCTCAAAGAAGATTTGGATATTTTAAGAAGAAAACTACCTTCCAATTTGTTGATATTCATTGGGATGTCTGATGCTTGGGAAGACAACCCAGCCAATGGTCACCCGCTGCCAGAGCCAGGCTCGGGACTCTAGTTCCCCCCGTTAAATAAGTCCATTTTTACACACATGAAGAAAAGGGGGAAGGTGTGCTTTGCCAGCTGGCTTGCTTGAACTAGTAGGGCTGTTTTGGCCAATGGGTCAGAAGCAGCATTTTCTATAGCTGCAGAGCCAACAGCTGTTAGTACAGGTGCAGCACCCCCAGCAAAAAGATGAAATATCTGTAACTCTAAATATGTCTTACAGCTCAGCCCAGCAAAGCCAGGTTGCCTGCCTGCCAGCTCCCCGGCCCAGGGAGTACAGACAGAAGGTGGTGTAAGGAACAGATTACACCCCTGAGAGCAGGGGGAACACAGGAACCCCACTGAGGACCTGTTCTCAACATGTACATCCGTGGGTGAAATACAGCCTGCCAGGCAAAATGCTGCTGTGGAGTTACTGCACAGGTGCTCTCCCCTACCCTGAAACAAACCCTCCAACAACCTCTGCGGTGCTGGAGAGGAGCCAAAGATTTCTGCTTTCAGGACAGTGACTCAGCTCAGAGGAAATCTCCTCAGAGCTTGCACCTACCTTCCGTAACACAGGGATTTCCCCCACCCCTTGGACAGAGGTGGGAGGGTGGAGAACAGACTATCACTTACCCTCTCTTTAATTAATGCAACCAGAAAGTAAAATGTTCCTGCAATTCTCCAAAGCCTTTACAAGGGTGAGTGTTGAGGGCACTGCCAAACTGCCTCATGTATTAGGACTCCCTTCCCTTTATACATTGTTAAAAATTAATTTTGTGGGTTATGATTCCAGCTAATGAAACACAGCTGGAGTTTTGAGTCAATAACCCTCTATTCCCCGGATATCCAGCTACCCACCCAGCCATTCCTGCGTCAGTCCAGCCCTCAGTCACTCACCACCCTCCTAGGGTCTTCTGACACCATTAATTGCTTGCATTGCCTCTCAAAGTATTGCCTGGGTGGGGGGGTTGCTTTGTTTTTAAAAATCACAGACAGCCATATTTCCTTTCCCTGGGAAAAATCAGATGGGTACCAACACACTATTTAAAGTTACCGATTACCCAAGCCTAGAGATGAAACCACAGGTTAAAAAACAAAAAAACAAAAAACAACCAACAAACAACTTGGGAACAGTGGTAGGTTACCTGAGTGGAGAGGCCTGAAAGCCCAGTCATTCTGTCAGGAAAGCAAAGGACCATCAATGGGAAAAAAAAAAAAAAAAAAAGGTGATATTTCTTCCCTGCCAGAGAGC